CATACCTGTGAGTAGCTTTATGGATGAGATGCAAAAAAACCTGATAGTGTCATTTGGCACCTGCACTAGAGAGAATATAATACTGCTTTTTCAAAGCTGGGATTTTTCATAAGGCTTTATCATTACTTGCAAGTTGAACATAGTGCCTTAATAAAGTAGTTTTTATGTTTTCTTGAGTGTATCACTTTGGTTGCCAAAACCTGCAGACCCTTGGTGGAAGTTCTGCTTAACAAAGATGGGTGAAATGTGTGTAAAAGTTGTCCTGAAAACTTGATATCCAGTACTGTTACTTCACAACAGTTAAACTTAATTAGTGCCTTTGAGAAGAATGAGTTAGTGAAGGTCATGAAGTATCATGGTTAAAAAAAAAATGTACCTATGTCCCGGATATTGTAAGACCTAAACAGTTTCATATCTTGAGCTAGAAGAGTTCAGGGATGAGTCAGGTGTATTGTTTGAGGCGATTGTCTGAGTAAGAGAATAGGAAGCTGACAGCACCTTTCTATATTATGCTTTTTTGCTTCTTGCAAATTTTATTGCATAGGGAAAAAACTACCAGGAAACACTACGGCCTTCTTGTTCATCTCCCCAAAATCTATTAGTGCCTCTTGCACATCATAGCCTCACTCCTTTATCCCTTGAAACTCTATATCTTGTGGAACCAAGAATCCTGATTGTTCTTCTGGTGAAGGTCTACTTTCTGGTGAAATTTTTGTTTCAAAAATTGTATCTTCCAGGGGAGAAGAATTGTAATGTCACAAGAGAAGGATCTGGAGTTTCTTCTTCAGCACAATGCTGCTGTTGGGTGCCTGAGACTATTTGTCTTTTTAAAATTTGGAAAACAAAGATGTATGAATAAATAAATAGAAGTATTAATAATATAAAATTGTTCATTACTCATTATGAGATGTGGGTTTGGGATATTTTTTAGAGCACCTCACAAGTTCTAACTGCTGTAATACCCTTTGTTAGCATCCTTTGAAAGACAGTATTTCAACATGATTTCCAACCAAAAATTCTTTGGCTGAAGTTCTGTGCTAAACTGTCTGGTTGAAGTAGTTCTGCAGGATGTTAGCAAATACTATATAGTGATTCACGGGGGTTTATGCAATTCTAAAAATAAAGGCTTTGTGCAATTTTCTAACTTCAGAAAGACAACAGATACAGAAGAGGCTGTTTTGATAGGTACCTAATGGTACAGACTTCTGAAAGTTAAATGGATAGGGTGTACTTAATACCATATACAAAAAGTGAACAGAGAATTAATAGCTGAGCTCCTGAGGAGCAGCTTATTTTAAGTTTTGTCAAGCTGTGTGGCTTCAGTGTCTCATTTATGTGGCCACCTTGCTTTGCCATCACTGTGGGCTTTCCAGGCTGCAGTACCTATGGAACAGAGACTTTTTAAAGGGAATGCAAAACTGTCAAACTGAGAGTCTGAGCCTGAGAAATTGCCCAAGTAATTGTATTCAACACAAGAGGTTAATCTATTATTAAATCAGTTTGAGGTATGGGAAGTATGCTCTTGATAACTTCTGTGATACGGTATGTGTCATAATGCACACACAGACACTTAGAAAACAGCAAGACAATGCAGTTATAACTTACGGTAGTCAGTGACATAAAGCAGGA